ATCTAACACAAGATTTCTAACAAGGGGTACTCTAAGATCCTAATTAATATAGCATCATCAAAATCTAATTACAATTATTCCTTACAGCTGTTGAGTAATATCATTCAGTTTTTATATTTTCTTTTACCTTCGAGATAATATCCACATCCTTAATATCTAAAGCGTGTGTTGGGCTTTCGGATCTACGGGATTAAACCTCAACAAGCGTTATTATAAAAATTCTGAAGTTTATAAGTACTTGGGGGTCATTCTTAATAAAAAAGGGGAACCCATTTAATTAATAAAGTTAAATGACAAGTAATTTAATAAAGTTACTGAAAATCAAGTAGAAGAAAAATGTGATTATAAGTAGAAAAAGGATATTGAAACTGAGCAAAATAACAATTGTGTGTGCTCTAAAAGCCTTTTAAATTTAGTTAGTGCAGTTGAACTTATTGTTTCAAAAAATGTCGGTAAGATTTATTTGAATTAAAAAAGATCACAAGCTACTGTTTTTTTATTGTTTGATTTAGTTTATGGATTATCAGAATATATGAGTTAGAATGTTTTTACTTGGATCGTAATTTGTTGGTCTGGTCTGATGTGATCTGTTTAAATCTAATCTGGTATATTTAAGTCTGGTATGATCTGGTAGTATCTGTGTATTTTATAACTACGGAAGCTAAATCTAGTCTGATTTGTTTAAGTCTTTTCAGTCTGATCTGTTTAATTTTGGTTTGCTCTAGAAATGAAAATATTGCAAGTAAACGCATCCTTAAGCTCCATGGCGAGAATCAAGTGGAGTGGAACTAGCATAATGTTTGGTTAGATATTAGATGGAGGGGTGATGCATCCAGAATTCTCTTGCATTTTTGGATAAAAATACAAGTAATTATAATTTAATTTTAGAAAAATTGAAAATAATTATCTCTACTATCGATTATTCTTGGGTGATCCCAACTATAGGAATCATATTTCAAAAATAGTTTCTAATCTGCTACAACATGGTATAGCAGATCAAATTTATATGTAAACTATGTGTACACTATAAATAATCTCAATTATAGTCAATTTTCTTTTATTAATCTTAATTATCAACTCTCAATTTTAAAAAAATATAAAAAATATTTTTATAAATTCCCAAATTAAATATTTTTAAACATGTAAAAATAATTATGAAAATTTTATAAATGTGCCGAAGTTAAATAAAAACAATTTTAGTCACTTTTTATGTATTTCACTAAAATTTCATTTGTTTTCTTTTTTCCAATTTATTTTTCCTAGTTGTGTTAACAAGTTGTGATTTTGTATTATTTTCTTTTATCTAATTTTACATATTGTGTTTTCAAAAAGTATATTGTGATTAAAAAAAATCATGATTTATTTCTTTATTCTAGATTTTTTCATTAAAATCTATTTTATTAAATTTATTTGCTACCTTAATTGTAAAATCAAAATTCTCTGTTTTTTCAATTTTAATATTTTTTATTTCTTTCTATTTTCTTTATTTTGTGTTATTATATTCTATAAATTTTTTGATTTAGTGTATCATTAAATTCTAGTGATTTGGAACATAGGATTTCGAGTTCTTGGCTATGTTAATGAAAATGCATTAATATTTTAATTTTAAGTGATACATTTTTTTCATGAAAAACACTAGAATAGAGCGTTCAATCATAAAAAATTTAGTCACATCTTACTTTTTGAAAACAGAAAATGTAAAATTGAATAAAGAAAAATAATACCAAATCATAACTTGTTAACACAACTGGGAATAATAAATTGCAAAAAGGAAAACAAAAGAAATTTTAGTGAAAAATAAATAAAAAATGACAAACTATTTTATTTAACTTCGGTACATTTGTAGAATTTTCAAAATAATTTTTACATGTTTAAAAATATTTAATTTGAAAATATATAAAAATATTTTTATATTTTTCTAAAATTGAGAGTTGATAATTAGGATTAATAGAAAAGTTCAATTATACTTGAGACTATTTATAACATATGCATAGTTCACATTTAAATTTGACATGTTTTTATCAGGTTGTAGCAGATTATGGACTATTTTTAAAAATAGTCTCTATAGTTGGAATTATTAATAGCGAGTTGATATTAGTTGGGATTGTTATTTTCAATTTTTCCTTTAATTTTGGTCAAATTAAATATTAGACCATCATTAACTTGCAAATGCATTTACCATGTGCATAAGTGCTTTATCTTATTTTCTGTTTTTAAATTGAATAACTAAAATTCAAGAACATCATTAATTAATCAACATACTCCCTCCGTCCCTAATAACTTAGCCAAGTTTAACCAGCACGGGGAATAATAAAGTAAAATCTATGTGGTTGAAGTTTGTGAAAAGGAAAGAGAATGATCTGGAACCACAAATTTTTTACTTAAAAGGGAAAGTACAAAAGTTAGTGGGACATGAAGAAAGGGAAAATTGACAAAATTATAAGGGATAATAAGTATTAGATTTCTAACAATTCTATCCATTGTTATATTTTACTTATATACGTAGTATAGTAGTATTAACTACCTCCATTGGGTGATGAGATGAAAATGATAAATTGACGCTACCAATTAAAATTTAGAAGATTTTGATAATAATTTGTTTATACACTATAGATGATGAGTTTGAATAGACTTGGACTCGGGCCGAGTCAGGCCCGGGCCCGGGCCGGGCTGCCGGTTCCGTATCCATAGGCCCGAGACTGGCCCGAGTTTTGACCAATTCCGGGCCGGGCCGGGCCGGTTCCGGTTTTTTTTTTATTCTTATTTATTTCACCCCCCACCCTCCATCCCCCCAACCCCCCCAAACCCCTCGGAAATACCCAACCCAGACCAACTAACCCCAGCCCAAACCAAAAAAATAAATAAATAAAAAAAAGCCTGAACCAGGCCCGGCCGGTAGGAGTGGACTCGGGCCGGTTCGGGCCCGGCCGGGCCTCGGTTCAAGAAGGGGAGGCCCGGAACCGGCCCGGGTAAACCCCGGGTCCGGGCCGGGCCGGGCCTCGGGTATTTTTTTTTTTTTGTTTGGGGGCTTTTCCTAGTTAACCCCCACCCCTCCCCCTCACCCCCAAACCAACCCTAACCACCTCAAATGGCCCAAAATAACCAGCCCAACCCAAAAACTCAAAAGAAATTCAAAAAAAAAATAAAATTGGCCCGGCCCGGGCCCGAACCGGCCGGGCCGGTTCACCTTTTGAAGGGCCCGAGCCCGAACCGAGAATCCACCGGGCCGGGTGGCCCGAACCGCCCAACGAACCGGTTCCCGGGCCGGTCCGGGCCCGCACAGTGGCGGGCCGGTCCGGTTCCGGGCCGGTTGGCCCGGCCCGAGTCCACCCCTACCGGCCGGGCCGGTTCCCCTTTTCCCTTACCCGTGTCCGGAACCGGTAGACCCCCCGGGCCTAGGCCCGAACCGGAATCGGACCCGGTTTCCCGGGCCGGGCTGGGCCCACACAGTAGCGGGCCGGGCCGGTTCCCGGGCCGAGTGGCCCGCACCGAGTCCCAGCCTAGGTTTGATGTTTAATACAATCGATAATCAGACAATGTTTTCATTTAGACATATTTGAAGTCTCCGACCATATTAGAATATTCGGATTATCTGACCATGTTTTCTAAGCAGATCATCATCATCATCATCATCATCATCATCATCATAATAATAATAATAATAATAATAATAATAATAATAATAATAATAATAATAATAATAATAATAATAATAATAATAATAATAATAATAATAATAATAATAATAATAATAATAATAATAATAATAATAATAATAATAATAATAATAATAATAATAATAATAATAATAATAATAATAATAATAATAATAATAATAATAATAATAATAATAATAATAATAATAATAATAATAATAATAATAATAATAATAATAATAATAATAATAATAATAATAATAATAATAATAATAATAATAATAATACACATAATATCAAATTTTACGAGCCGGACTTTATTTAAAGATTAATTACGAGCCAGACATAATACACATAATAATACACATAATACAAAGCTGTTCAGTACAGATTAGACTAAATTTAAAGAGACCAAACATGGTCGTTTCAGACCAATTCTGGCGAAATAAGAATTGAGAATTTCAATCGAAATGAAAATATAGTTCTTACACTTTAAAGACAAACTGCACCGTGTAATTAATTCAGCTCACAGGCTGTGTAAAGACCCGAGGTCACTGTTGTAATTGTAACACATAGGTCACCAATATATTAAGGAAGTTTTAACTCAATATTACTAATAAGTGGATGATTGACAAAAAAAAAGTGACATTTTATTCAATTTTCCAAAAAAGTGACTGAAAGTACTAACATAACGGTTACACGCGCTACAGTAAGGATGTTTTTACTTGGACTGTAATTTGCTGATCTGGTCTGGTCTGATCTGATCTGGTGTGGTCTGGTCTCTTTGTATTTTTATAACTATCCAAGTCTGGTCTGGTCTGGTCTGAACAGGTCTGGTCTGGTCTGATCTGGTCTGGGACGAATTACAGTCCAAGTAAAAACATCCTAACGCAACTACAGTGACATTGCTACAGTGACACCACCACAATGACAATTTTACAGTGACAACATCATAGTGACTCCATTCCACGCTGTCCACCACCTGCCCACCAAGCCACAGTGACACCACCACCGGTGACACCGCCACAGTGACACGTCGATGTCGGCCATAGTGACACGCCGACTCCGACCATAGTGACACGCCGCTGCTGACCATCACCGTGGACCGCCGCCGCTGGCAATCACCACCGACCACCGCCCCATCACCGGCTTGACTCCCCCCCCCCCCCAGTCACCTTCCCCCTCCCTAGCCCCCAACCCCCTCTGATCCCCAAGCCCCCATCCCAACCCCCAGCTCCCCCACCCCATCTCCATGGCCCTGGACTCATCTCCCCAGCCCCCACAGAACCTCCCCCAGCCCCGCTCAAGAACGACGCACCCCAGCCCCACCCAACAATGCTGCACCACAGCCCCACCCAACAACGTCGCACCAAAGGCCCCTCAAGCCTCACCCTACCTTCAGTCTCATCCCAGCCACCTCTCTATCCCTACCCCAAATTCGATCTGAAACTCAGATCTGAAAATAAGAAGGAAAACCTCAAAATCAATCTGGAATCCCTGATTTGCTGTCAAGAAAGGAGAAGAAGGAGAATAAAGGGCAGGTCGTCGCTTGCTGGTCATCGCTGACCTGAAGAAGGTCGACGAAACTCCGACGAGATGCAACAGAGAGGAGAACCGGCAGCTTGGAGTGTCGAAGAGGATGGTGCCGACTGTACAAAGAGAGAAGCCTCCGTCCTGTGCAGAGATGGAGTGCGAAGAGAGAAGCCTCTGTCCTCCGTCCTGTGCAAAGAGAGAGATGGTCTTCTCCGGGCAAGGGAAGAGAAATTGACGGGCTGGGGAGTGTTTTAAATGGTCACATTTTTGTCCAAATTCAAAATGGTAATATTTTTGTCTATGCAAACTCTCATTTTCATCATCATTTTCATTTACCCCTACGGTGGAGTAAGGGGGGTCGGATGTACACAGTTTTACCCCTGTACTAAAGAACAGAGATGTTGTTTCCGGATGACCCATAGTGAAATCGCGTTCAAAATTGCATGGATTGACTGCTGCTCCATAACAAAGAAGCGCAGACAGTTTAGTGAGCCATTTTGCTTTATTCCATCATAATCTCAAGCCAAAAAATAATGAATCTTTGGCTCCATTGCAAATGATGGAAATGTCTATGCAAACTCTATAAATTTTTGCAATTCTTTCATATATTAATCAATGGACGGCCAGGACGGGTAGTGGCAGTGGCGTAGCCGGGCTGCAAATCGGACTGGGTCGGTGCAAAGAATTTTTATAAATATGTTGACATAATTCTTTAGACTAATATTTAAACAATTTTTTTAAATTCAGCCCCAGCTCTGCCCATGTGGATGGGGTAGTGAATGCCAGTAGGCATACTAACTAACTTACTAACCCCTAAACTCCCGATCACAATGGAGCTGCCTGAGAGCTCTCTCCTTCACTCTTCTCGAATGCATCATCACTTATCTGCACTAAGCCAATAGGCATTCTAACTAGTTCACAATGGTTGGGAAAAAGCTCGTCTACCTTTCGCAATGCAAGTCCAGGATTTGGAAGCTGAAGACCTTGCTTGTATTCATCCTTCTCAAATATTGCCCGCTTCAATATATTTTGGTAGCTTGTGGTAGCATCCATTGGATGACCCCTAGCAATTGCAGCCTGCAGTAAAAGGTAAACTTGTTGGTACAATGGTGACCCGAACGTGGTTTGGATAACAGGAGTGAGAAAACAGATTTCAAAGTCTAACCTGATGTTGAATGAAATACATTGATTTATGTTTTCGTAAGAACAAGTAAGGCTGAGTATATCTGACCCCCCTTACGCCACTGTAGGTGGAGCCTTTGCGGCACTGGGGTAATGTTGTTGTTGTTGTTGAAGAGCAAGTAAATGTCATTTGAAAAATTTAAAATTTTGGATACAATTGTGGGCAAGTGGGATTTAGGATGTGTGATTACAAGAAAAGACATGTAGATATTCAAACAGATTTTATAATTGTGCATTCATATTCATTTGTTTATTCAAATAACTATTGAAAAATACCTGGAAAAATTAGTATTATTCTTATGAGGTTACGTCATAATTACTAGTTCAATTTTATATTTCAAAAGTCATTCTGTCATTCAGTTGCCTCTTTGAGGTTTGATTTTTCTCACAGCTTCCCTCTTTTATTAACATCTATGATGTATCCCATCACACTCCATTTGACTGTCAAATCTAATAGAAATTATCTAAAATAGAGTCACAACATTTCTCCAATAATACAAGTCATGAATGTTGCTCACATTCCTCCGTCTATGCCACTCTCAGAGACATTTCTTCCACGAATAGCAAAGTTGGAGGATCACAGACCAGCAGCCATATCATGGCTTATAATGATGATGAAGTGCTAAGACCCTTAAGAGTGGATTTTTAGTCAACCTCCATTACATTTGGCCTTATAACCTTATTATAAAGTCATAGGGGTAACAGTAATTTTCGTAAAAAAAAACAGAAAAATACAAACCAATAGAAAATCTCTTCCTAGCAGTTTATGCCCAAATACCGCAAATGTTATGAAGCTGCAACAGAAGCAACAATGTGTTGCGGTGGGCAAACCAAACATTCACAGAAAGAAAACTTGGTTCAATAAGAAAAGAAAAGCCACCTTGAACATGCCACAACATCTGGAAAAATGTGGTGCTCGACCAAACAAGCACTCGTGATTGTTTTCCTTGTTTAAATGTTAAGTAAGAAAATGATATTATTGAGAGAGTAAGAAATACATTAAGAACTAACCAAGTGATTCTTTCCCAACTCAAAAAGCCAAAATCTCCAATCTTTTAGTACTTTCCCGTTAACTCTGACAAGAATATTTTCCCAACAAGTGTGCTGAAATTCAACATCGTCCAATCTATGCCCTACACCTTTGCCTATGGCTTTGACGAATGCCTCCTTCAAACTCCAGTATCTGCAAAAGTGTTTAAATTTCATGACAAACATCTCACCATGCAGACTGTAATCTATTTTTAACGTCATTCTCAAACACATGAATAAAACTACATGTTTAGTGACTGTAGCCCATGTTTGACAACTAACATTTAAAACCAACAATGCGTCCAAGCTGAATTAATTTGTGACAAAAAGGGGATAAATTTTGTTAAAAGGCTAACTAAGACTAATATTAACTACTTCATCCATTAATATTCTTTGCTATGGATAAGCTGATAAGCATCATACCTATAAAGCTCCCCTAACATTTTATTGTCAGATCCAGCATTTAAAATGTTATTCCATTCAAATCCTGAGAAGTAGACTGAGAAGCTTTGAATAAATTTATTTGGCGATTCTTTCTCAGGGATGCAATGGTCTACAATATCTATCCCAACAAGGCATATTGGTTCAGAAGCTATTGCCACATAATCACCTTGATGAGAGACATTGAAGTTGAAGTTTGGGAAGTCCACAACTTCACTTCCAAGTACCTTAAGAAAAAGGAAAGCAGGACAATTAGATGTATCAAGAATGCAAGAGAGTCCCGCGTTGTGAAGGGGTAACACTTAAGAGCTATGGTGTGAAGACATGGAACATGACAAGGACCGGGAATAGTTCATTTATATACTTTCCATAATGAAAAATACATGTTTTTAAAGGGGTGGATAAACTGTGCACCCTATTTTTTCATCCAAATTTGAGTTTGCACCGCATTTCCAAAATCAATCATATTAGCACCCTGATCCTTAAAGAATCTGTTAAAAAGTGGGTGAAAACTCCAATTTGGAAAAAACATGGGGTGTAAAATTTAATTCTTAAGGTGTAAATAGCAATGATTTTGAAAAGGAGGGAAGCAGACTCTAATTCCTCCTTTTTTTTAAATGTCCAAAAGTGAAGTGGGCTAGATAAAGATCAAAACATGAGATATCATATTCAATTAGGTCTAACCCATCTTCAAAGTATTCTCACGAGGTGAGGTTTGCCTCATACATATACTACCTCTATCCACCAGACATTGCCAAACTTGCGTTATGTGTGAAATAAGAAAAGAAAAAAATGTTTAGTTAGGTTTGTGAAGAGTATTGAAAAATAAGCAGAATCACAAAGTATTTTTCAATACTCTTCACAAACCTAACTAAACATTTTTTTCTTTTCTTATTTCACACATAACGCAAGTTTGGCAATGGAATAAAGCAAAATGGCTCACTAAACTGTCTGCGCTTCTTTGTTATGGAGCAGCAGTCAGTCCATGCAATTGTGGACGCGATTTTCACTATGGGTCATCCGGAAACAGTCTCTCTGTACTTTAGTACAGGGGTAAGACTGCGTACATCCGACCCCCCTTACCCCACCGTAGGTGGGAGCCTTTGCGCCACTGGGGTAAATGAAAATGATGAAAGGGAAAGTGATAAAAGTTTTTGGGACAAACAAAAAAGAAAAGTTGGCAAAATCCTAAACATCCAGATCTCGTAAACATCCAATATGGTACATTTAACACATAGTGGCTACAGAATGACCTGAGCACAATTAATTAAGCACCCTAAAGCCATACCATACCAGATATGGTTTTCCCTCAACAGTCCGCCTAATGCATATCTCATTGTATGGGATTCCCAATACATGATGTACCAAAGAATACTGCAACAATCTGCTCACTAGAGCTCGTTTGCGATCTCCCACATTGACAAATCTAGTTAATAACATACAACATTTGTTAAATCCACAAGAAAAGATAAAGATTTCTTAAATATCGCTATTACACCCAAAACTAAGCAACATGCCACCATCAAGATCAGAATTGACCTGCCAACTCCACTCTAGATTGTATGAGAAATCAGATCAATCCCTTATCTAAGGTTTGTGTACTTAGAATCTATAATATTCGAAGAAGCCAACTTTTGCAGTCTGTACTCTAAAATTCCCAATAATTATGCTCCGAATTAAATAAGAATCAACCAAATCCGACACATAAACTGCAATGCAACGTCAAAAAATGGAGTAAAGGAAAACATACAAAAACATCTTAATATGCACCGGGCCATTAAAAAGGTAGACTCCAAAATTTCCAATAAGTACGCAGTTATGCTCCATCAAAAAGGTAAACTCCGTAACTAATAAACAATTAAACACTTGAAATACCATGAAAAGAAATGAAGTAACACACTTCCACACACATAGGGAGAAAGAGAGAGAATTGCAGGTCACCTAGTGATGGAAGAATGCTCGTGCTGCGGAAGAAAAGACATGGCGAAGGAAAAGGCCTGGGGAGTTGGCTCCCACACTGAGATGTCAACTATCCATCTCTGAACTCCCTTTTCCAATTCCATTTTTCTTCTCAGTCTCCCCTCGCGCTCTATCTGCCTCAGTCCTCCATGTGAATTCAAGCTCGATATTCTCTTTGTTCTGAATTTATCGGGAAAGACTATGGGTTGCGATTAAAGGGTATGTTGGTGAGTTCTGACGAAATGAGAGGCTTGTTAGTTGAGAGTACGAAATTAGAAGAAAACGTATGTCGTTAAGTTTTGCAAGGAGAAATGAAATTCAATTTTTGTTCTTTTATATGTACTCCATATAAAAGTTTTCTCATTTTTTTACCTCCCCTCCCCATTTCTACCCTATTTCCTTTCCCTTCCAAATCTACAGCCCCTACTCCCGCACCACTGTACTTCAAACACTCCAAAACCAACTTCCCCACCGATAACCTTTCTGGTGTGTAATCCTCCCCTCGTCTCACCCCAAAGCCATCCTTCGTTGGGGTGGACTTTTATGAGAAAAAAGAGTCCGTGAAAACTGAGTCGAAGCAGAAAAAGTATGATGCTGATGCTATCTATATCTGGGTGAATATTTGAATGTTGCTGGGTTTTTGTTCTTTTCTCAATGGAAATCAGAGAAATTGGTGGTGTGGTTTTTGATGGACAGGTTTGTTTCCCACACAAATCTCTTTTTCACCAGCGATAACCTTTCTTCATTTTTTTCTTATTTGTTTTTTTTATTTCGTATGTAATACTCTGTTTATCTTGTTAACAACTTCTTCCCTCTTTGCTACATCTCTTATTTGCCCCATTTCTTTCCAGATTTGTGAGGTTAATTATTTAAATTTTAATTCAACTATTATATTTCACTTATGCTCATAAGGTGTTTGTTGAAATGATTGAATGAATTTTTATTCATATCCATGTGTTTTTTATTCATTTTTCTATTTTGAAATTTTGTTCGAGTGTTTGACTCTTTCATTTTATTAAAACGAAGGTGAGATGGTCTTGAAAGACTTGAGATGGTCTTTTTTCCTCATTTTTGGTATTTTTTCCGTACAACTCCACATGAAAAATGCTTGTCTGTCTGACAGACAATTTTGAATTGCGGTGTCTGTCTAGCTGAGCATGGTTTCATAATTGGTAGTTTTACATAAGATGTCTGTCAGGAAAGAGTTGCTGCACATGTGAAGAATCAAGGCAGCCCCATTTGCTGCTCAACTTGGAAAGAGTTGCCCGTCTTGTCTCTACATGATGAGGAGATGAAGATTCTGGAAGTGGAATGCTCTCATAGCTTTTTTGTTGTACTTTTGTTTGTTGAAAATTGGTTTGTAGTTGTCTGTGAAGTGAAAAGAGTTGTCTGGCATTCCATTTGATTTGTCTGTAACGTGAAATGAATTCTTTAAAATTGATTTGTAGTTGTCTGTATGTGAAAAGCATTGTCTGACATTCCATTTGAGTTGTCTGTAATGTGAAGATAGTTGTCTTTCTGGTGAAACTGTAAAGTAGTTGTGTATATTTAGATTGCTCTGTGATGATATTAAGATGCCTGTTATGGTATTTTGATTATTATGTAATTGGTTTGGAGTTGTCTGTCAATTTATTTTGAATTGTATAAAATTGATTTGTAGGTGCATGTCATGTGAAAGTAGCTATCTGGCACGTTAAATCCAATTGTTTAAAATTGGTTTGTGGTTGTCTGTCATGTGAAAGTAGTTGTCTGGCATTCCATTTGAGTTGTCTGTCAATTGTTCAACATTGAACATGTAACATTGTACAATACTCAACACATTTTCCCCACTGTAATATGAAAAAAAATACATGTTCAAAAAATCACAATTTCAAAACGGACACATTCCCTCAACACTATATATTTCAGCATCCTTGCATTTATTTCTCCATTGCAAAAGAAGTCACACTTGATATAATTTTTGTAAATGAATTAGCGTCCGCTTGGAACTCTTTTTCAGCCTTACATTTGAAGTCATTTGTCATCTTGAAGTGAATATCTACGATTAATACACAACACGTAGTCAGAACACATATTTGGTACAAATAGCATATGTGAGGCATAATCAATTTGTTTGGAAGAGACAACTGTTGTCTGGCACAACCAAATTTTGTCTAGCTGTGAGACAGAGAGTAGTTAATTGGCTCACTCTACTAATGTCTGGCCCAGACAAAATTTGTCTGGCTATAAGACAGAGAGTAGTTAAATGACACAGACTACTAATGTCTGGCCTAGACAAAATTTGTCTGGCTGTAAGACAGAGAGTAGTTAAATGGCCCAGACTACTAATGTCTGACCCAGACAAAATTTGTCTGGTTGTAAGACAGAGAGTAGTCAATTGGCCCAGACTACTAATGTCTGGCCCAGACAAAATTTGTCTGGCTGTAAGACAGAGCGTAGTTAATTGGCCCAGACTACTAATGTCTGGACCAGACAAAATTTGTCTGGCTATAAGACAGAGAGTAGTTAATTGGCCCAGACTTTAAGACAAAACCGTGTTCACTTTAGGCTAGACAGACAAATTACAAAAAAATACATAAATTACAAAAAAACAACATACTCTTTTCCAAAACATCAATTAAATTACTATATCATATTAAATTGGAAATCCATAAAAATACTCATTAAACATTGAGGTACAAAAAATAGAAAAAAAGTCTTGAATTTCAACAAAAACTTCATTGAGTAATTTCTACAAACATGTTATGGGCATAAAATAAAATAGAGAAATTACACTAAAATTTTAATTAGGTAACACCTCAAAATCATTACAATGAAACAAAATAATCAATTATTCACTTTTATATCATACATAATATACATAAAATCGAAAAAAGGAAAAAATAAAAATAAAAAACGCACATGAAGAAAAATCGTAAATGGAGTACGTAACTCATGATTTGAGAAGAGATGGTTACCTTAGACACAACTAAATGGGCAGGTCTTGAAAACTTCAAAAATGGAGATGAGAGCTCTTAGCTTGAAATGAAAAGAGGAGAAAAAATGAGGAATGGGGGTGAGAGAATAGAAGGGGACGGATAGGAGAAACAAATGAGGGGATGTGGGATGAGAGATGTTTGGAAGGGGTAAAATAGATGGTAAAAAAGAGGGTATTTATATGGGGTAGGAAATGGGGTAAAGTTGGGGTACCTATAGCAAAATTGAATGAAATTAGTCACAAAAACATCTTTTAACGGAAGTTTTTTGGAACAAACAAAAAAGGAAAGTTTACAAAGTCTAGTGGAACGGAGGGAGTATTACTTTTTCTTTTGCTCTAGAAAGTTAATTAGTCAAAATGAGTTACTAGCTTGAACAACGACAATTACTAAATATAACACTATTAATAATAAATGAAGAGGAAGATGTTATAGCTAACTATTGAAGTACATTTTAATTTTGATGCAAATGGTGATGTGGCTAATCAAGCTATGAGGGTAATTAGTTAACCGTTGGAGATGCTCTAGGTGATTCTTTTTCTTATTTGGGAGTTATAAATTTGAAAAAAGATAAACTTTGTTGGAATCGTAGTTAATTTTTTTCGAGAAATATTTTGTATTCAAATAGTTGAAGTTGTATTCATTGAAAATTGAGCCAAAATTGTACATGGATTAGTTATCCTTCAAAATCATTCAATTTAGGAGAACTTAAAAATGAAGCGTCTCAAACCTTTTGGAGGGTTACAAGAAGACTTTGAACCATCTCTTCCATTTTTTATACCCCGACGATCCAGCTCTGGTCTCGGTCTGGACCCGGTCTTGTAATATTTTTTCATTTCCTCTCATTTCAAAAAAAGTGGTCAGTCTTGGACTGAAATCGAGACCGGAACCGCCCAGTTCAGTTCCCAAATGGAAGAATCGGGACTGGATAACATGCTTCGCATGCCTATGGGCGGTCTCAGACCCGAACTGAATTTTCCGGACACAGTTTGGTCCCAAACAGTGTCAGTCTCAGTTCCGGGCCGGACCGGAAACACCCCTTACTTCAACTAGATCTTATGATCTTATCATGAGAGACCCAACATTCCATGTTTCAAAGCGCAATCTAGAACTCCATATTCTATACTTATCACCACATTGACTCCCACCATGCCCTCACATATTTGACACCATCCTGAACATTGAGGTGGCACGCCGCTTTCAGGTGATGGCCAAGCAACCATAGCATACTTAGCACCACACCCCAAACCTATAGAGCGTAACATGTCCGTGCATATTTGACACCACCCTAGGCGGAGGTATAATGTGTCGCTTCTGAATGACAATCTACGATATTCATCTATCAATTTATGTCATGTGATGTGACTAAATTATATCGTTGACCGTCACATGTCTACCACAACACTCTCATCCTCCTTTATCCTAACTTGAGACATACATGATACAAAATATGATCTTATGGTGGAGTTAAAAATACAAAACTTGGGTATGTAATCATAAAAATAAAATTCGGGTAAATTGTAATTTTTCATTTACTTTGTTATTAAATATTAGAAGAGACGTTTTCAAAAATATTACTAAAATAAAACACGTTTACAAAAATATGACCAAAGTTGGTATATGTGTATATAGTTTCATGATCACTTAAATATAAGAATTTAATATAAGTCGCTATGGCTAAAGTTACTACTATAGTCACATCACTTAAGACTTCACATTTTTAAACACCCTTTATTTTAATCATCTTATTTCATACTACCTCTGTCCCAAAAAATTTTGTCATTTCAAAAAAAATGAACCATGATTTTGATTAGTATAATATTATGGAAGTTATAAATTTTATACTTTTATGAAAGTACTTTTAACAAAGAACATTTTCATATAATTTTTATATTATAAATAATTTCCAATAAAAAATATATAGTTGGTCAAAATTTTAAAAATGACAAAGCTTTTTGGGACGGAGGTAGTATTATAAAAACCACATTTTTTTCATTTAAATGCTTTCACGAGTTGCAACTAATATCTTATTACTTTCTATACTATTTACCTCAAATTCTAACTTCAACTCAACTCATTTGGTTGTTATTTTTTATGAAAATTTCCCAAAATACAGGAAATATATTTGGGAATTCCAAAATAAAGTGATATACTTTTCATTAAGTAGGAGTGTGTTAAAGTCATCCTAAAAATTTACTGTCATATTTTGACATTACAAAACTTTAAACATAACAATATATTGCTTACGTTGAGTAAGTTTTACTACATTTGTCTTTCTTCTCTCTACAGAGAGAGAGGAACCCTAGCAGG